GATCAACAGGAGATGATCGGGATCTACCTTTGAAACAAACTCATTATAGAAGTGATTGCCCATATTCGACAAGTTGTAAAACTTATTTTGTGTTTTGGGCAAAAGCTTAAGATGACAGAGAGAACATGTAACAAATTGTATTAGCAGCAATACAAGATCAACATTGGTGATGATGTTTTTTTTATAATAGTCAAAGATGAAGTGATTCCATTGTTAAAAATGTTCATTGATCAAGGTAACTTAGTGACCCAGACTTTTTGAAGCCTCTTGTTTAGAAGAACCTTTAAAACCAATGTATGTGTTGTGATTCTCTTAGTATTAATATTTTTAAAAAAGAGAGAGTATCAATGTATGTCGCATCTCAACTATTAAACATTGATTTGTTCGAAATGCTAAAGATATTCTATGGAGAATCAAGTTAGGTGTATTCGGATAACCACACGTAATGTGTGGTCCTCTACGGCCTACTCATTTCCTTTCTTATTCCATTGTCATGGATGATTCTTTTTTTAAACAAAGCGTCTGAAGAACCTTATTTTTTTTTCACGGCTGTTTACTTTTCCGGGGCTCATATGATTTAATCCAGTTTTCAATGGGGTTGTTCGGTCTCACATTAAGTTGTCTATGTATTGTTGTTTAGACTGTTGTTTTTCTTTGGTCATTTTTTGTTTTTTCCATTGCGTTTTCCGTTTGTCATCGAATGATCAGTTTTGCTATCCCTTCAGTATTTAATGACATACTTCCTTAGTTTTTATCTTTTAGATATGTTTCTGTCCTTTTCGTATGCGTGATACAAATATATAATTGATGAAACAGGAAAATCGTCATGTTTACTTAATGTTAACTGTACACTGGCAAATTATTATTCATGGTAATGGGTATATTGAATATTAATCAGTTGTTGTATAATTACAGCACACAGTTGTGGTGACTTCAAGTCGAAATGTGATAATGGATACCAATGTGTGCTCGATGCCAAGAAATGTGACGGCTCCGCAGATTGTGCAGATGGTTCAGACGAAAATCCAGACTTGTGTGTAGAGAGTATGTACTCGTATATCGCATGAATCATTGTTTTATATCATATTAATTACAACTATACAACATAATCCAACTAATAACAATGTTTTCTTTTATCAAACATTACATAAGTTTGTTTCCTTTTTATATGTTTCATAGTACATTGTGTTTTGTGTACCCAATCATATATCTAGATTGTCTTTGTTTCAGGCATATAAAATGTAATTAGAGAATAGAAATTAATCTTAAAACATGTTTCTATAAAATAATGTCTTTGCTTGAGGTAAACTACAACAAAAAGACGTACGATCACTAGTAGTTGCATGCTAAAATAGTATATACATATAAGAAACATTAGTTATAGTGTTGTGTAAAATAGAACATGCATTAAAACGCGAAAGCAACATGTCTTTTGAATAAGAAGTACATAAATCATTGTTTTTTGTTGTTTGGTTTGACAAAAAAAAAAAATTATGGAAATTGGATTTAACTGATTCTTTTTTCCTCTTTAAAATAAAAAAAAAGAGTGCAAAATGTTCATCCAGCTTCTATTGAGTCAGGTTATTCTTTGATATGCAATGCATTGTTAAATTATTAACAGAGGTACCAGAACATGCAGAGGAGATTGGAAAAAAGTAAAGGATTATTTTGTTTTTATTAGAAAAGTATGAATCAAAGTCACAAACGTTATCACACTGTTGGAATTTAATTAATAGAAGTATCTGTATTTCTAAAACTTAACATCTTTACAAAGTCAATCTTTACAGTATTATGATATATCATGATATATAATCAGTTTTATTATGGTCTTCGTTATTTAACGTTTTATTGGCAAGTCAACACTCACTTAGCTTTTTAGATCAAAGAACCTAAAGTAATGTACAAGTCTCATTGGCTGTCCAAGTGACACATCAAATCTAATATTCTGTAAAACCTGTTGACACTTTGAACTTAACATTCAAACCAGCTTGTTTGACAAAAGGAATACGAACATTGTTTTCAATGTCTAGTCAATGTGAAACACAATATTTGTAAAATGGTGTTTTGGTGCTTTTGTTTAAAATGTCACCGATACTTGAACCTACTTAACCTAAATGTGTTCTCCTCTGTCGTACATTTAACTAAACCTCTCATGAAAAGACATGTGATATCGAGATAGGACAACCATTTTAAGATTTTAATTGGATATACTTATTCTAATTTCTTTACATATTTTTTTTTAAAGATCGCACCTGCCCAGTGGGAATGGTGAAATGTGAAGATAATGTTCAGTGTATTTACGAAATGCAGTTTTGTAGTGCATATCCTGACTGCAACGATAAATCGGATGAAAACCCGAAGATTTGTACAAGAGGTAATATAAATTGCTAGTTTGTGTATGCAATTATAGTAATGTATATAATATTGTAAGCCTGATATCTTTGAAAGTATTGTAAGCTGTCTATACCCTGTATCGTATTAAGTAAAGCTGTTATTCATAAGGTTAAACGCACAGTAGTGCGTCTTTTTCGGAATAATTGCAGACATATATAATGAACATTGAAACTGTCCTCGTATATCAAGCACGAACATACTTGTGTTTGTCCTCCTTGCTTGTAACTCTTAACAGTAATATACTCACTTAACCTGCATATGGGATATACATTTCCCAACTCATTCATTAATGAGCTTACAACTGGTAGTCAGACTGTATAAAACGTCATCAGTGTCTGAACAGAGAGTTTTGTCAAAGAACTCTCGTCCTTAAAAAAAAGAGAATCGGAAGATAACAATACCTTGTTAATACATATTCCGTATCAATTTAACAAATAATATATGATGGTTTTGCATTATTCATTCTAGGTAGTAACGTTGTTTATCATCTTATTTAAGTGTTTATATAATAAGTGAATTTTGTATTTGTCTTTTTATGTTTTCAACCATTACTATTAAGTCTATATTTTTGTAATATACTTTTGCGTAGCTTGTTATTTAAATAAGCCGCCATTGTGTGTTTGTGCTATATACATTTTTGTATTCCTGTCTCTCTTTTTTGCCTTTATACTTGGCCATCAAGTGTGTGTATGCTAATTTGTTTGTCTTCGTTGAAATAGTTATTTAACTTTATTGTGATTAAGAGTAAAACACAGTGCTGACTTCTGTACCCTAATTTTAGCGCATACATTATGTTTTCTGTATGTTTTTTTTTACCAGGTATATGTTAATATGGTTACAAAGTTCCTTTAGTGTAAAGTGTGTGTTTCCTTTTTTATGTTATTGTATCAATATACAGATGTTATGCATTGGCTGTTTCAAAAACATAATATATGGTATAAGAACGAGAAAAATTATCGAGTTTTTAAATATAATATGGTATAAATTTAATGTTTGTACCAGCGTATATGTGTATAGACATTTTCGAAATAAATATGTATTATAGATTGAAAAATATATATAGCATGATTGGGGTGGATTCGTGTAATGAGTATATATTTTTTGACACAACTTTTAGATACAATCTGAATCTCAGCTTTGAACTAAAATGGTCATGTTATTGCTTTAAAAGAGAGCAATCGTAAAAAAAGTTCAAAATACATATATAAAAATTGAGAATGAAAATTGGGAATTTGTCAAAACAACAACACCCCGTCAGAAGAGTAGAACACAGCCGAATGCCACCAAAAAAATCATCAACACAGCATGAAAATTCTGCAGCCGAAGGCGTTCTACCGCTGACCCCTTAACATGAATGTGTACAGGTTCAGTGAAAATCGACGTCATACTTAACTCAAAAACATACAAATGAACTTAAATAAACAAAAAGCACACGAGACTAGCATTGGCCACTTGTTTATACTTAACAAATTGTTTCACTTTCATATTGTTTTGCATCATTATTATTAGGACATCATATATAATGTGTATATTCTATGCATTCGGTATTAAAACAGTACTAAACACCACTTTTTTTTTCAGACAGAGCTTGTCCCACTGGAATGTCTAGATGTTCTGAAAATGACCCGATGTGCATGTATGATAGTTGGTTCTGTAACAACCAACCAGAATGCTATCACAGAGCGGATGAAAATCCGAACAATTGCTTAAATCGTAAGAAGATATTTAACTAAACACATGTGCACATAACTATGTTTACTTGCGTATTTTTAATTTACGCCATGCATAACATTCCTTGAATCGAACTTCTTAATTACCTTTTATGTTCAGATAGAGGCAGATTTGTCATATATCGATTTCATTTACTCACTGTGTTCGTTTAGATTAAATTGGAACGATAACAGGTCAAATTAAACTAAACATGTTCACTTAATGTTTGCTCAGACATATGTATAATATATTTCAATGTTTCTCTTCCATTATTTAAAAAAAAAGAAATGTAGTATATGAATAATATATCTGAGGAATGCGGTATAAGGTTAAAACTTCCTCCTTTTTGTATATACTTTGGAGTTAAGTATTTTGTTTAGACTTTCAACCCATCTTGTTCTTTGGAAAATGTCTGTTCAAAGTAAAAAATATGACAGTTGATTTTGTCAGGATAGAGGGATTTCGTCCTTTTTTTTATTAGAACAATTTTAAGCTTCTTGTGCAAAAGTGTATGTATACTCGTGAGAGCGTGATATGATATTATATAAATAACACATAGTTGAGAGAGTGATAGAGAAGATTGTTACCCCGAAAAAGAAAATCAACCGAGGCGAAGCAAAAGGGGTAACAATCTGCTCTTTCTGCTATAAGGATCGTTGCATGTAGTTTTGCGTATATCTGTGTGTATTTTTTGTCCGTTTTTTAATTTGGTTTTAATCGTATATCTTTAAATACTTTCAAGCATCATTTTTTATGTTTCTGTAATAATGTTTCGTTGTAGTATACCTGTACCAGGTATCATTTAAAATTCAAGTATGGTTAGAAAAACAGAAATTATTTTTGTCATCTAAAAATGTTTAATAGTATTACAATAACTTGTTAATTTATCTTAACAGGTCCAAAAGGATCCACTAAGTTGCCGTGGCTGACATAGCTGGCAGTCAAATTGGATTTTTATTAAAGCCATTGCACTTAAGTCCTACGACAACAGACAATAATTGAATTGTTTGAAAAGTATAAAATGCCTTTATTGTATCTGTAAATAGTGGGGATAGCGATTTGGTTTGCACGAATCTTGTTTTGATATGTTATCACCATATAATAAAATTATTTGCTATACGTCATGGAATTGTTCAATTTCGTCCAGGTTTATTTGTATCGTTAGTCTTTCCATTGGCGTTTCCCGCCACGTCTAATAGGCCTTTGTGAACATAAGAAATCAGCTGAAATTCATCTCAACTTTTATAGTTGTTTTTTTTTCTCCAGAAAAAACACACAAGGTACAAACTAATCTACATGAAATAAAAAAAGTGAATAAGAAAAAAACGTTTATGTAAGGAAATAAAGCTTTTTTCAGTGTCAAGATTTTTCTTTTCAGTAGTATAATTTCGGCAATATTATTTCAGATTTGCAGTAACCCGAATTGTAGTTTATGCAAAGTCATGCCCAATATTGATTTCTTTGTAAGAGCTCGAGGTTCTGACAAACATAATTTGCAATCATGAACAAATGCTTTTCCGATCAAACCTAAAAGACAATTTTTATTATAAATTGGAATTTTCACGGAACTTGTCTGAAAAAATATGTATTCGTAAACAAATGCCCTTGTTCAATGTTAATATTTTCCTGCAATCCACAATGTGATATTATCTTTTGTGTAAGACTTTCATATTTGATTGCATATATACTGATACTCATTTCAAATAATGACTCACTTCCACCATGTGGTTATCAGATTTCCTGGCTGACACTAAACAGACCTTAGACCAGTCCTTGCATATTTCAAAGATAAACGTTCCATATACGATTTTTCCTGCTATAAAGGGTATATAGTCGCTTCTTACAAGTCGATCATTAAGTTTAATAGTTCATGTTAGGTTCTATTTACAGATTAGTGCAACAACAACAACCTAATAAATGAAATTTAGTCAGATTTGGCTTTGTTTATATTATAATAAATAATACAACTATAATATTGTTCAGTGTTACAACATGTATAAACAGGTCATTGAATCAATTACAGGAAAAAAAGACAAAAATACCACAGAAACAGTTGAAATTATAAGTTCAAGAAAAGCAGGCAATAAGAAAAAAAAAGAAATTGCCTGAAAAATAAAAAAAAAACATCCATACAACACTACAAAGAACACCTTAGTTAAGCAACACTGTCTCATCAGACGCCGTTCTTTAACTCGTGTTCTTGGAAAATCTTCAGTCCCATATTTGACTATGATACCAATGGTGTTGCTTGTTGCAAGGGAACATGGAACGATTTAATAATAATCCTTAATACATGATGTAAGTAAATAAAACGGTTTTATGACTTGGACTAATGTAACATGCCCAAGTTCACAAAACTTCCTTTATATTTTGAGATGATTTCAACAGGTTCATTGTGATCAGTAACACACTATAAATGAAATAAAAGCATCTAGACTTGTTAGTGTAACGCCAAGTATACGTCATTTAGGCAGGATATTAAACGATGAATAGTTGTTTATAGATATATAACCAACTCGTCGAACTGCATCATAGAGATATAACATGTTAATTTTATTATTCTTCCCTTAGTTTATTTATTTTGTATTTACATTGTATCATAGGTCAAATTTATTTATTCAGTGTATGTTCACTGGTGTTAATATGTCCTTTGATTGAGTTAAGCCATTTCAGTTGATATTTTATAGTGTGTCTTTCTATGTTGTGATGTAACACTATTGTTTCAGAAAAAGGGTGAACGTTTGGTCTCATTCAAACGTTTAAACCCGCTGCAATTGTTTGAACCTGTCCTAGTCAGGAATCTGATGTGCAGTAGTTGTCGTTTGTTGATGTGGTTCATAAGTGTTTCTCGTTGCTCGTTTTTTATATAGATCAGACCGTTGGTTATCCCGTTGGAATGGTTTTACACTAGTAATTTTTTGGGCCCTTTGTAGCTTGTTGTTTGGTGTGAGCCAAGGCTCCGTGTTGAAGACCGTAATTTGACCTACAATGGTTTACTTTTATAAATTTTGACTTGGATGGAGAGTTGTCTCATTGCACTCATACCACATCTTCTTGTATCTATTAAATATTTTAGACTCGTAAGTCGAAAATGAACTGACAAAGCCATGACTAAAAAAGAATACACGACAAACAACAGTACGCAAAACACAACATAGACAACAAAAGACTGAGCAAAAAGAATATCACCAAACACGGGGGTGATCTCAGCTGCTCCAGACGGCTGAGTTGATCCTACTCCATATGTTGCACCTATCGGGTTGATTATGCTAGTACAAACTCGGTATTAAGTTTAATTCAGAGGTCACATTGGGATAAGGTTGGACTGTATTGCAGCAATTAGAACATATCTTGTGTCATCTGTAAAAACAGATATTCGATAACGGTCTAGGAACACGTGATGACTTCTGTGTAATTAACGAAAGGAAGATTTTAACTTTACCACATGTAACTCTTCGTTTAATAGCTTCCATGTGAGCAGCAACCCTAAATCAAGGAAATCATGATAAGCAATACAAGTCCTGGAATATCGTTTCAACTGGGAGATAAATATTCTATATGCAGGTGCTGCAGGTATGTTGCTGCATTGACATTGGAAATTCAAAATTGGTAAGCAAACATTAGTGTTGAAGTTGTGTTAAAAAGGCATTTTTTTTTTAAATCGTAAGACTCACTGTAAAAAAAAAATGAAAATTTTTTCAGACAAAATTGTACTCTCCACATAAATTAATTCCTTGAGATTTGTTACCTTTATATTCAAAAGCAATTACTAATGCCTGACACTATAACCATAATAGAACTCCAAATCCGACTGCGTTTGGCTAAGGATATACTTACAGCAAAAAGACGTACTGACAATATCGGCACATGTAATTTTAATCATATTTTAAATCTGTGACACTATACAACGTAAAAGTCTCGTCTTATTTGATATATATAGATTTATTTTATTTCCAGGACAAGATTTTATTAAATCTACCTATTAGAAATCCCTATTTGGAAGAATTCGAAAAAAAAACGGCTGATACAGATTCAAAAGAATTATTGTTCATATAGTATGTAAAAAGTAAATTCACAAAAATACCGAACTTCGAAAAAAATTCAAAATGGAAAGTCCCTAATCAAAAGGGAAATTCAAAAACTCAAACACATCAAACGAATGGATAACAACTGTCACATTCTTAACTTGGTACTGGCATTTTCGTATGTAGAAAATGGTGGATTAAACCTGGCTTTATAGCTAGCTAAACCTTTCACTTGTATGACAGTCGTATCAAATTCCATTATATTGACAACGATGTGTGAACAAAACAAACAGACAAAATAGGCAAAAATGTCACAAAGGGGTACAGCAGCCAACATTGCCTTATAATCTTAATCACTAAAACACAAACAAATATGTATCAAAGAAACACAAATAGGCATATAGACAAAGCAAATTAGCAAAAATGAAAGACAAAAATACAAAAACTATCATAGAACAATAACACAATGACGGGATGTACAGAATTACGTCAAATGAATATCACTAAAAACAGACTTAACAGTAAAAGTAAAATTCGTAAAGACAAATAATAAAAATAACACGTTATTTAGATGATAAACAACACTAGTGCCTAGAATCCATACTTCAAGACCATCGTGTATTATTTGTGAAGTTGATACGGAATATTTATCAACAAGGTCTTGTTCCTTGCGATGAACTTCTTTAGAAAAAGGACGAGACGTTCTCTGAAATACCCCCTGGTTCATAAACTTTCTGCTCCGACACTGGTGACGTTTTACAAAGCCTGAGTGCAAGCTCTTGAATACCGAATAAATTGAGAAATGTATATTCCATATGCAGGTGAAGTTGGTATAATGCTACTAAGGTGGGGGAAATTGATAATTTCAAAATTAAAATCGTCTCGTTTGTCATAGATTATGGTACTGAGATGACAAGTCAAAAAATCAGGCGGAGAAAGCCGTGTCTGTTGTATGATTAATTTCTAGCTCTGGGGATTTATTAATGGAACCCAATAAGAAAAGTTCGGATTGTTGATGGAAAGAACATCATCAATAAATCTGAATGTGAAATTAAATAACCTGGCTTATTTGATCTTCTTGTTTAAGACAAGTATCTGAATGAACTCCGATGTATATTAAAATAAAAACAGGTCGGCAAGGAGAGGCGCACAGTTCGTTGTCATAGTTATGCCGACAATTTGTTGAAAAAGTCTATCTCCAAATTCAACAAATATGTTGTCAATAAGAAACTCAAGCATACTGATCACTAGTTCCTCTGTGTAGCATGTTTTACCTTTTTGTTCACTATTATCAAAATATGCCGTATGGTATCCCAAAGTAATAATTGTTTATTGAATGCTACCATTTTTATGTTGAAAAGCAATGTGGATTATTTCTTGTAGACGATTTTTTCAATTTCACATGGAGAATGGTTGAATACAGGGTTGAAAAATCAAAGGTTTTGATAGAACTAATTTCAGTAAAATATCAAGATTAAAAATTATCCAGAAGTTCTTTAGAGTTTTATAGAATCCACATATGGCTAATACCACTACGCGAGTTAACGATTTAACCGTATTTCTGAAGACTCATCGCGGACAGAATTTTTGTCAATCTGATGGACAATTCATGTCGCATGATATGTTTTTGTATGTTGGATTACTTGAATGCTCATCTATATTTAATTCTTTCACATACAAAGACCATATTATTTGAAGGTTTGTCCGCAGGAACAACAACATACGTATCATGAAGAGATGATAGACATTGCACAGTCTCTTTGTCTCTGAAAACAGACTTTGGTCGATCATTCACACAGTTTTTCAGCTTATGAATGCGACGTTTTATCAGAGATCTGATTGTTTTGACCAATTCTGACAAAATGTCCAGTTAAACTTCTTCTCGTTTAGCCCATGCTCTGGCTCTTAATCTTAATGTTTTGAAGTAATGGTTCCAATTGATGTATTGGGGTTTTTTATACTTAGGACCATGAGAAATCACCTTTCGAAGATTTTCATATTGAATTATGTTTAGATCCCCAGTAATAACATGGCCAGAGGGGCTTTAATTTTAAGACGAGTGGGAACAGTCACATGTCAGAGGTTTTGTTTTGGTAT